ACAACCGATATGAGAATCCTATCGTTTGGATAGACTTGGAGACCACTGGAAACGAGGTATTCCGTGACACTATACTGGAGATCGCTGTGCGTGGTGATATTGCCGATTCAGATGTCTTCGTTTTCTGACTTCTGTCCTAGGTGATTATCACAGATCAGCATCTTCGCGAGGCGCACCCTGGTATCCAGTATGTTATCAAGACGGACGACCAGACTCTCAACAGGTGAGTCATAACCCCTGCTGTCTTTATCGTGGCTGATTCTGAGCCTGTTGCTCCAGCATGCACCCAGAGTGCATCAAGATGCATGCAGACGTGAGTGCTTTGCTCCTTCTCGTTTTGATTGCATCATCTTACTTAGCTTTTGCGGACAGTCCGGGCTGACTGCAGAGTGCAAGCAGTCTCCGCACACAAAGGAGTTTGTCCGTGATCAAGTACTGGCATACATACAGGAATACGTTCCGAAGTTCAAAGGTGTCATCGGAGGAAGCTCTGTCCACTTTGATAAGACCATTCTCATGCGCGAGATGCCGCTTATTACCGACTGGCTCAAGTACCAGTAAGTAGCCTGTTGCATCCGCTGTATTCGTTTGGCGCTAATGTGACGGCAATGCTAGGATCCTTGGTGAGTGCTGCCCTCGTATGTGCACCCCACGTCGTGGCTAACCGTGTTATGTTATGATCGAGATGTATCCTCGTGCATGGTAAGCTTCGGAACGCGTCTGTATTTGCAAACTGTGTTAATGCACGCCGTTACCTAGTTCGAAGCTCGTGCACAGTTCCCGACCCTTTCGCCCCCTAGGCCCGCTACAAGCAGAAGACACAGGTCAGCATAGGGTTGCCGTTTCGCATCACCGCCCCGCTCTAACATGCCTTTTGGCAGGGCCATGGACGACATTCGTAACTCCATCGCGCGTACGTTCTCCGCCTGTCTCACATAATTTTAGCTAACATCGTGTGTATAGAACTCAAGTTCTATCGTACACATTTCTACAAGACTCCGCGGGAAGCCGCATACTCGGTGAACAGGGCCGGAGTCGCTGCTCCTTCAGCCGCGACTGGCCAGGCCTCTACTCCTAATGGGCCGAACGTTGGCGACGGTGCGGTTCCCAACAATCAGCGGCGCGCTAGTGGCGCGCAGAGAACGCCTTCCGGCGGGCAGGTCCATGGGGACAGGTCGTACCAGCGTTAGACACGAGGTGAGTGCCGGTTTTCTGGACCTCCGTTGCGCTTGCTAACTATCTGCCAAGAACCTTCGTTTACGTATGGTGACTTGCCAAGATGCGGCGCCGCTGCGACAAATCGGATTCTTAGTGTATTCTTCTCACTTTTGTGTACCTCACGTACTTGGCAACGCTCTAGAAAAACGGAGGAGCGATGAATGAAGTAGCTTAATGGCTCGATGAGACATCGATATGGATCTGTGTTCGCTGTATTGAAGTTGTGAATGCGCTGTCGACGTCGAGTGCATTCAAAGAGATGCAGGTGGCAATCCTGCTGACGTCCGAATGTTCTGTGAATATACGTTTCTAGTACTTTCACAGAATGAACCGAGTAAAGCAGTAAGGGGGCATATATATCGGACATAGAACGCACTTACGTAGAATACTTGCTTATGGAGGGGAGCCGGGATGCGTGGCTGGTGGTCTACTCCCCGAGTCTAGAGCACCATTATCTTGAATGTACAGTCAGCATCGGAGAAACTTGCCTCCGCCTTTATGCCCAAGACAGGCGGAATTAGCGACCCGAGGACCGTTGTCTCACGGATTTTTGAGACGGTGAGGTCCAAGGAGGAATGCACCCCTGGCGTCATTAGCGGAGAGATCGCAGCTTCGACCGGACGTCAGTCGTGAGAGGGGGTTTATTCTGGCCGGATACCACAGCTACTCACAGCAGAAGCGATCGAGTAATATTGCTTTTCTCGATGAGAGCCGCTTGGCACTAAGTAGTAATAAGCATGTACAACGAAGCCCTCATCATGGATACTCACTCCTCAAAAGCATAGGCCCGTCTATTCGTGTAACACAGAACCTTCGAGACATTTGTTTAGAGGCGTTAGAGCGTCGTTAAAGATTTTTCCTTCCATGGCTTGACAGACCACGGAACGATGGTCTGGGGCAGCGGCCCGCGCACAGTGTCAACCTCAGGACCTCGGTATAATGCAGGAGAGATAAGGCATGGCGTGCAAAGCATACCATCGACTCACCGTGAGTGCTGCAGATGATAACATCGGAGCTGGACCGAGTGCATCTGTTCCGGCTGTCGGGGAACATATGGGGGCATGCTTCCCGTGGTGGGTGCCGTGGCGCGAGCGGGCGAACCGCGCAAAGTTCTCGCGGTGAGAACAGTCGCAGCGTGTTCCTATGCAGTGACAAGTCAGTGTGTAATGCGCGGTTAAGCACAGCCTGCGTGATGTGTAGTCGAGGGGGCGAGAGGCAGGAGGTGGGACGACTGAACCTGCCAAAAGCGGGCGGATCGGAGGAAAGTGATGGGATGACCAGCGTTCGCGGTGGGCAGTCCGGACCCAGCATGTCATCGGAGCCCTCCTGACTCCCCGGCTCGACTTTCCTTTCTTCGGCAACGGCACAGCTATAAAACGTAAAATCCCTTCACCACCTGCCCACCCACACCGTCCC